TCTTCCATGCCATGGAAATAATTTGCACCTTTTTTGGAGCACCTGATATGAATCATGTAAAGATACAATCCATGTCTCCTCGAAAATGACTTTTCCAAAACGCCTTTGCATACCCAATTTAATACAAAAAGCGATATGCTTCTCTAATAACTTGTTGGGTAGTTCTACTCAAGATGAACTTCCATTTGAATTTTTTGTAAGCCTACTTCTTGACTTGAAGCATTGGAACAACCCATTCTAGAAGCCGTTTGCAATTGTTGAATGGCATTTCCAAACTTGAAATTGAGTTAAGCATTTTCGAGTCTTCTATTCGGTGCCTCTATATCAAATTGGTAGCACGCAAAACCTATAGGGCGTTAGCATAAACTTGATATGTAGTTGTTATATTTCTATCAACCAAGGTAGCATAATAACAAGGGTGACAATTATTGACTCACCCCTTATCTATCAACCAAGTACCGATAATTATTGACTCATTTTCTAGTAGATACTGATAGGACATAAATTAGAGTGTTTTATATGTGTTAAATGTCAAATTATTTATGATATGCTTTAATTGACTGGAGAATTGTCTCATTTGAGTATATTTTGGGTCTTACAAGAAAAATTGTGGAAGTCGAGGAATGGAAGCACAAGTGAGCGAAGATGCGGAAAACAAACTGAAGTTCGGCACTGAACTTGGCACTGGATGTTTCATCAGATGTAATTTCGCCAAATGCAAGAAGCGGCAGTTCACTAAAGTCCGACATTGGATATTGCATTGGACTTTTTGCCAGACTTCATCCAATTCCTGTCACACGCATCTTTGTTCAGTTACAAGAAACCTATTCCAATTGGAATTCACTTATGATTTTTACTAGCTATAAATAGGAGATGCTTAGATGTTTTAGGGGGTTAGAAATACTAGTAGTCTAACTTAGTTTAACAGATCTTCATAACTCTTTCTTGAGAAATCAAGATTGAACCTAAACAAATCAATGAGCATGCAAGGAGAGGATTAGAGTGAGCAACTGAGAAGTTTTCTTACTCTAATTCTTATCTTTGTATCAACTCTTTGAATTCGTGGTTTTAATTTTCAATCATTTTAAACTAAATTTATTCTGGGGTTAGGGTTTTTATGAATGAATTTTGATTAGTTTCTCCAATTAAATTCTACTATGATTTGTCTATCTTGACTTTAATTACTTGTTTATACCTGATCAACATGAACATGATCTTTGGATTTGTATTGGATGGAGAAGTGAGATGCAACTATGCATTAGATAGATAAATTTGCTTAACCTAATCATGAGAGTAGGTTGAAATTTGTATGATGCAATTATATCACCTAAGTTCTTACAGGATTTAATTAAATATTTGCAATTTTGGGAGACATGTAAGATTTAATTAGACATACATTAGATTTATCGAGAGATAATCTAATATACCATTGTATGATGCATTTATAGCTTGTCAAGAAATTAGCAAAAAAATTAATGCTAATTATAGATTAAAACCTAAAACCCTAGTCCCTCATCTATTTGTTTTCTCAACTACTCTTCTAAATGGATTATTCATTTATTTTTCCTCTGGATTCAAATCTGTGAAATTTAACTTTTGCAAATTGTTGGAATAATTAAAGTAGGAAATTAATTTGTCTCTCTGGGTTCGACTCCTGGAATACTCCAGGAAATTTTATTTCTATGATAGACTCTATGCACTTGTAGGGTTCGTCGATCCGATACCAAGCAAGAAATGTGATTAATTGAAACTTATACGTGGATCAAAATATCACGTGGACACATGGAATAGTCAAATATGACTTAGTCTTGTTTAATAATCCAATTTAACACTTAAACTTAATGGGTTCAAATCTTAAGATGTTCAGATGTGTTTGATAACCAAATTTAGTATTTAACAATTCACTAATTTAATCGATCCAAATTTTAGTTTTTAGACTTCAAAATGGTTCAAGAGTCCTATGCTCAAGAGATTCAATCCAAAAGTTGAAGAGTTTTTGGATCATTTAATTGGCAAAAATTGTTTTAAGTGATGCTTGAGGTGTTTGTATGGTGATTTAAAGCAAGAAAAATAATTGAAAATGGAGATTTAATGAAGTGTGGTGTGTGTTGGTGTGGGTTCTTGAGGAATAAAGAAAATGAAGAACAAAAAATTAAAAGGCTCTTTATAAACAAACCTTTAGGATAGTCGACATTTGTAAACTATTAAAGAGAATGTGAAGTGTTAAGTAACCCAGGATCTTAAGGGTAGTCGCTGTAGTATTGTGGTGAGCATTCCCGCCTGTCATGTGAGTGACTCGGGTTTGATCCCTAATATGGCGCCAAAAACTTGACGAGATTCTATCATGAACTAAATTTTAATAACCTAATTACCTCATTTTCTGCAAGTATATATATCGTTTATTGAGTATTGAGGATATTAAGTGTCGATTCCAAAGGGAAATTGTCAACTATCGATGGTTTTTTGAACTCCTCTGTTATTTAGACTACCACAAATGAGCAAGTAAGTCTACACTACTAATATGTGATAAAAGTAATACAATGACAAGAAAATGTATTTAGGGTTATGGAATTCCTATCTACTCATACAAATGAAATAGCCAGTTAAATGAGTTTATTATCTTAGTTAGTTATGACATAATTTTTTAATATATGTGATACACGCTTTCGCCGATGTACCAATCATATGTATAACTATTCCACACCTACTAACATGATATGAAAATAGCTATAGATTCATTACATTCTACGAAATTATATAAAACAAGCCACCAAAACTATAAAGGTATAACCCTATAATAGTGAGTTAACTCCCTAGGTTTAACACATCCATGAACTAGTATTGAATCACAATGGTTATTGATAAAACAACACCTTTAGATAATCACAACCAATGGTTCCAAATTAATCATGATTTTAGAAGCAAAAGTTCTAAATAATATGCTCAAGAAATAAGCTCAAATAATCATGAAAACTTCACTTAAAAATCATAGAAGTTCATCCACTCCCTGGGTTTACAAACTAGCAAAACATAAAAATTAAGAAAACAAGAACCAAACTTATATTATAACCATTTATGTCTAATTACATACAAGGATTGGATGAAACTAAGGACACCAAGTTGTATTACACTATAGAACTAGGAAGCTCCAGTGAAAGACTACATTTTGTATAGTTTATCTAGATTCCAAAGTTAAGCAAATAAGCTCTCCAAGGCATCTATTTATAGATGAATTCAAGTTCCAAATGAGTTGCTAAAACTAATGCAAGTTTGTGTTTTGAAATCATCAAAAGGTATTTCTTGAAAATGCTATGCTTTCCTGTAGCTGTTTGAGTTAGATTTCCGATGCATTAAGAATCATCTCATTTGGATGTTCATAGAATGAGATATGACAAAAGTATCTTTGACTAATCAATCCGCTGTTTTAACTTTCGACAGCAAAAATGCACAACTATATTTCAACTTTTTGACTTGAAAAACTCATGATTATAGAGCTGTTAAACGAACCGAGCTGTTCGTTAGCTCGGTTCGTTTCGACTCGTTCGTGTTCGTTAAAGGCTCGTTCGAAAGCCTTAAACGAACGAACACGAACGAATTTTTCTGTTCGTTTAATAATCGAACGAACACGAACATGTTCGCGAATTTTAACGAGCGTTCGCGAACAAGGACATAATTGTCATTTGACAAATTTTAGGGTTACTCATAAGAAATTCTAAAACTTTCCCCTTCCCTTTCCAACCTTACTTTTGTTTTCCTTCCCCATTGGCTGCTGCCGAAAATTTGTACTTGTCTTATGGCTGAATTTTTATATTTGAAGGACAAATTACTTTGTTTTATTTGTTGTTTTTATGTTAATGTTGGTTATGCAGTTATTGAATAATGGAATTTAGTCATTTAGTATTTTAATTATTTTTTAGGATGATTAATGAATTGTGTGGCATATTTAAGGCGTAGAATAATCTGGATTCGAACTTTTCGAGCGTGTTCGCGAACGGCTCATTTATGTTAAACGAGCCGAACACGAACACGAACACGAACACGAACTTTACTTAACGAGCCGAACACGAACACAGATTTAGAGTTCGAAAGTTAACGAACGAACACGAACAGAGTTCGAATCGCTTAACGAACAGAGCTCAAACATGAGATACTCGGTTCGTTTCGGTTCGTTTACAGCTCTACTCATGAATTGGATTTTAATTCTTAATTTTAAAATGGATTGAGAATCATTTCAATCCATATTGGGTGTTTTTATAATTGCATTTTACTCTTTAGTAATTAGGTTTTCCCCAAATAGGTTCTTGTAGGCACATATAGTACATGCATAATCTTAGTGTCACTGTGCAAAACTATTTTATTTTTTGTTTTTTGTATGTAGAGAAATAAAACTTTTGTTAATTTACATATATTCGTAAATCCTCTTAATAGGGGCTTCTAATGAATCAAATTGTCCGCAAAGTAAGTTCATTCAAACTCATTTGAGTTTGATAAAAGCTCGTTTTTGCAATGAACGATGCAATACGTCTGTCAAGCATTGATGGTGGATGGGTGGACTCATTCTTTGGTGGACACCGAACAAGAAACATGAGTGGTGGTATTTGTACATAGCACTGAAACACATACGTAGGCAATTTTTCAAATTTCATTTTACTCTATAAAAATCTAGATTATTCTCAATTAGGTCCTTCAAAAGTTACATCTACAATCCCAATGCTACATCCCAAAAATTCAAGGTAAACCACATCAACATGTTCACCCCATGCTCAAGGACAGAAGCAAAACATAGAGATCAGTTGGGGGAAAAACGTTGAATGAGTTGATAAATTCTCGAGGGGGCCAAACTTCATCTCTTGAAGGACCTAAATGAAACCATTTTCTTTCACAAGAGGAACTTTCACAATTCTTGAAATCATGGGGGGTCCCAATTTTCTGATCAACCGCTACATCCTTGAACAACCTGACTCTTGCCACCCCTTCTAGTCAATTTGCGCCACGTACAGACAGAGGTGGCAGCAAGCTCTTTCCTTCGCGACTCCGAACGCGCTACAGTCCATACTCTTCAGTCTTCACCCTTAACTGCCATAACCAAAACTGAACAATTCTTTAACAATCCAATATTCCAACCGAACTGCAATCAATACAGTTCCCCTCCACATTCCCTGCATCTGTGGTAAGAGATGAAAGCAGAAAATTTGCTGGCATCAGCCAGCATCAACATAGGAGTAGCCATGTTCATCCTTTCACTATTTTCCATACTGAAAAAGCAGCCTTCAAATGCACCAATATACTATCCACGTCGCATTTCTCTGAATCACCATATCTTTTTGGACGAGCGTTTTACCTTTTCCCGATTTCTTCCCTCACTGGAATGGGTTCGTCGCGCATCGCGAGTTTCCGAAGGGCAGATTCTTCAGCAGTGGGGTCTTGACGTGCTCGTCTTCATTAGACTGTTTAAATTCGGGTGAGACATTAAACCGGTACTGAGGTTATTATTGTCTGTTTAAATTCGTTTGTTTTATAGAAAATCTGTCTTGACCTGTTTTATTTATCTGTTTTATGGCTAGTGTTTTGTCATTAACTTAATTATAACCTTAAACAATTTAATTTATTTGAACCTCATACTCACTGGTCTCGGTGAGAGCGAATTGATATGAAAGTCAAATATGCTCAATAATATGTCTTTGTGCTGCACCTGTTTTATACAAAATACTGAATTAGTGTTTGTTGTGATATATCAAGGATACAATGGAGATATGAGATTTTGCCATTATTTTCACTAGTTGAAACTTTGATGTTGTGCACTTTGAGATAAAGTTTTCCCAATAACTGATGTCAATTGATGAACTTTAGCTGACCTTCTGTAGTCTAAAACTTTCAGGATCAATTTTTTCACTGTTTCCTGTGTTGTTGGTGTATTGGTTTTGCTTCCACTTAACTATATTGACGCTGACAGACTATCTTCACAATTTCATTCCGTGAATTCTTTCACAATATCTAATATTATAGGAGGTTCTAACAGGTAAGTTAATCGGACTCTCTGGATGCATTTTAATCACCATTGCAGTTTTTTTTTTTAATGTCTCGTGAATGTAACTGATGTATACCTCAATGTCAATCAGATTAGGAGTTAGTTTATCAGACTCTTGATGCATTTTATCACCGTTGCATTTTTTTTAAGTGTCTTGAATGTACCTCTGTGAAATAGATTTGGAGTTAATTTGCATACTAGTTATTTATTGAGTTCTTTGGTTTAAAGATGAGATATACTAGGTATAAAGTATTAGTGGCATAATTGTACTGATTGCTTTTTACTTGACTTCAAACTAAAATGTCAGTCTCATTCAAGAATTTTTATTGTAAATGCATTTAGTCGTCTCATCTTCCTTTCTCTCTTTCTCTGATGTGTTGTCATAGAGAAATAGAAAAGGCTAGAAGGAAAATCATTCAGAAGTGTGGAAGAGTTATAATGGAGAGAACGTATCGACATCTATTAGAAAGAGAGTCAGAGAGATATATGCATTGCATTTTAAGGAACTACTGATAATTTGTGCAACTATCAGAAGTATGTGGCTTGGCAATGCCAGCTTGCTATGCCAACCATCTAACACCTAGTTTGGACTTTGATCAAGGAATATGCTCATTACTTGATGTTTTTAGGGGATCATACATGTGTCAAAGTCATCACGATTCAAAATCCTAGATTTTCTCCATATGTTATTACTAGCAATACCCCAAAAGTTTGTTGTGGTTTTCTACTGCAATTAACAATGAGGACCCTCTTTTTAAGCTGGATATTTGCTCGTCAAGGAAGAGTTCTCAGACTTGGCAATCATTTGGCAATTTTCTTCTATGCACTTCTTTTAGAAACTGTGGAGAGAGAAATGATAATTAACTTCATTCAAATATGACCAGAATAAAAATTAGCATAAAAACTCACTACTAAAACAACTACTATTGTTGAATATGAACCAAAAGCTTCTGCTTTTGTGATCATTTTGCCACAACTCAGTATCCAATAAGAAGATAACTGTGTCCTGCATCTGTGGATTGTACTGCATTGGTTCCTCTGCATAAACTCATGATCTCAGAGAAAAGAAATTTCACTTGGAATGTTGCCGTACAATGGCAATTACAAATTGTTATAATGCCATACTGTTGTAGTCTTCTAATCTGAATTTTTTTTGTGACTGGTGATGAGATGTCACTTGAGGCAATAATGATAATTTGATCAAGCAGCTATCCTATGCTGCTCTCTTTAAGTCTGTATGCATGGTGGTCCTCATAAAACTGACTATGGATCCACACAAAATTGTTGGTGTTTTCTTTTTGCTTTCTGTCAAGAGGTATGTGGAGGGCATGAGATACAATGGAGCATAATGAGAACAAGACTTGTAAAAGATAGAGCTTGGCCTTATGTTGTGTGCTTGGTGGGCAACAGTGGTACCATGGGTGTAGAATCCTGACTGAAATGCTCTTTTTTCTCCTTCCTCCTATCCTTGGCAATAGGTTTAAGGAAAAAAATGGGAAAAAAAACTTGTCAAATTAGTATAGCTTTCCATGAATGCAAGTGACAGTTAATTGAAGGGAGTTTGTATAACTTTTTTTTTTTTTTAACTTTGTCATTGGATTCTCTTCTCTATTTAATTCTTCTTGGATGTTAATTTTTGTAAGTGGTATATCTGTGGTATCCTTTGTATTGTTTTCTTACTTTCCTTTTTATTGTATCTTGAGACACTATTCTTGAAACTGATGATAAGCAGGCAATTCTTTTTTTCTTTTTGCATGTATTTGTTTAGATTCATCATTGTGGCTATGCCATTGTTTTTTTTTATAGTCATGGCAGTCCTCTTTGTTTATTGTCTATTAATTTCTTCTCCATCAAACCCATGGTGTTGTTTGCACACTCTGACCACTTTTGTTATGTTCACAACATTCTCTTTTTGCTTGGATTGATTTTTAACCTTCAATCAGAATATTTTGTTGGTAAAACCTTCTTTAATTGGATGTTGTATATTATTCATTAATTTGTTTGCTATTTGCAGGCTGTGGGTGCATCTTTCTTGCTTGTATTTTATTTCTTGCTATGGATTATACCTATTGTACAAGGTATCACTATGCTCTGATCTTTACACAGTAATATCAAAAGTGTTCTCAGCAGCTCCAGCAAATCAGTATCTTATGTTTAGAGTTCCCATAGTGATGGGTTCATTTTCCCCTGCAGTTGGTATCATTTTTACTAAAAACAGGAATTATTGATAGACATTCCACCTATCCCATGAGACACTAAAGCTAAATCTATAAGGATTCGCGCAATAATACTGCCATCATATATGTCATCACATGCTGTAAACTGTTTTACTCAATGAATGGCTAAGTAGCTTAAGTAGAAGGGCTGCATCTGACAATGAAACTATGTACTTTTCTTGTTGGCATGACTCATTGATCCATTGTTTTCCTGAATCCAAACAGCAACTACTGGATTTCTGTAGCTTTGATCTCTAATCTATCATATCCTCGGAAGCAAGTTTTGGGGATGGCTTCTTATGTAGTTTGATAGTTTAAATGATAAAATTATGCTTGGCAGCTGAAATTCTGTGTAGAAAGATAAAAGAATGGTTAGAATATATTTCTATTAAGAGAAGAAGAGAGATGGTTAGAATATAGTCCTATTAAGAGAACAACAGAGCATTTTCTTCACTCACAGGAGTATCCATAGTCTATGCAATGGGCATATATGTATTTGAGCATTTTCTGTATGAAGTTTGGTGCTTTCTTTTTCCGATCTCTGAAACCTTATTTATACATGCTTTAACTGGTAATCTTCAATTCGAGAGGGCTGTTAACAGCCACCAAAAAAATTAGCCTTTGGTCATATTTGTTTTAATTTACTATTGGTACTTGAATCACAAAGTTTTTCCCCTCTTTTCTTCTGGGTTTCCTTTTAAGGTCTCAATTTAGTGACTGGTCATCTTAGATTGTGAGTTCTTGGCAAAGAACTCCGAGCTTTGACTGTCAGTTTCATGCTTTTTCTCAGTAAAGAAGTTTGTACTTCAAGTCCAATGCTTAACCTTTACATCGTTACATCACCAAACTAAGAGGTAGAATACTTCTGTTAGTGTTTCACGATTAGTAGATCTCAAGGAACTTGAACATTTAGCATTAGATTGTTCATGGAAGTCTTCACCTGGTCTGGATTTGAAAGATTGCGTAAAAGATGCAGGACAAGAAAAATCATCTAAAATATTGAACGAAGTCGTTCATTTCTAGAAAATCAATGGTCCTGATAGGGTCCAAAAGTATCATGTCTGACATGTGATGGAGATGTTTCTCTAAAACATAACCTTAAAAGGATTGTCAAAGCTTAACTGAGCTTCAAAGAGCCTGTTGTCCTTAAATAAGTTTGAAGAAAAGACAAATAAAAGCTCAAAGTGGTTGCAAAAGAAGAAATTGTTGTTCAAAACCAATCAAAACAGTCCAAAAGTTCAAATAAAAATCAAGAAAATACTTCAACCATCTTGAACCATCACATTGGTTGTTTGACATGAATTTGAATAATTTGTAGTTTGATGTTAAGAATTAGTTTCCTGTTTTCTATATCCAGAAGTATCATGGATTGTCACTGTTCTTTTAAAACTTCTCTTATTGGAAAGGCATAGTAGTTTCAAGAATTAAAGAAAGAGAAAGGGACATATTTAGACGTTCAAATGATGCACAGTCAGAGCACCTAGGGGACAGCATGACTTTTTCCTTAGATTTGCAGTAACAGTTAGAAATTTTATGAGTAGAGTAGTCATAGATGTTTCAATGTTATTTCTCGGAATCCCTGCATCATGTAGGTAAGATTCTTAAACATGATTTGTAGAAGTGATGTAACACAAGCAGGGACTGTCTAAACAAAAAGAAAAATCAAGGACAAGTACTGCATCGTTTCTTGCATTAGTTAGGGGGTCCAATAGTGAATTTATTAAAAAGCAGCACACTGAAGTAAATGCATGGTACTATATTCTCATCTTTTCATTCATACAATCAAACAACAGTTTTAGAAGCTCAATCTATCCCCATTGCTGAATATGTTCAGAATGGTATGATTCTATTCAAAGGTAGATCAGTTTGATGTTCACTCTAAGGTCATATTTCTTTTCTCGGAAGTTTTTCTTTTAATTTTAGACAAGTGGCTTTAACAATTGGTTCCTTGCTTCATTTTTTGGTCAGGAATATAAAGATATCTGGTTGAAAAGGATTCAGCAGCTACATAACTTAAGGCATCGACCAGATCAATTCACTGTCCTAGTTCGAGAGATCCCTTTTTGCAATGAGCACAAAGCTTATGGTTGCTGTGTGGATCACTTTTTTTCTAAACACTATCCATCTTCTTATCAATCATATCAGATTCTGTACGACTGCGAGGAACTCGAAAAGTTGCTAGTAAGGATTATTCTCATTGTGCTGCTCACCAAAGAAAAAAAAAAAAAGAAAGATCTCCTTACACTGATCTTGATACATATTTTGAGGAGTATATTTGTCCCTTTGGAACACACCAACCTGAGATGAAGGAAAGTAATAATCTGTTAGACTTTAGCTGTAAATCAATGTTGATTAATGTCCTCAGTTTAGCAGCCTCTGACATTTTTCTACGGTTAAAATGCATAGGCTTAGAATCTGAGATCCATCTCAAAGGAAATTTGAAATCAAGGTACTATTATCATGGCTGCAGTTGAAATATCTATATGTTGTTTATCATAGAATATTTCACACTTGTCTTCACCAGTATGCTCAATTGATTAAGGGATACAAAAATGTATGACTTTATTTGCTTATTGAATATGTACTGCATAAGTGTAGGTGGTTGGCTAATGTTTGTTACTTTGTTATGTTCTGAGTTAACCAAAGTAACAGTGTATCCTGTCTACTGGTCACTTCCTTTTGAGTTAATAGTTGACCCAAAATATGACAGTTTATTTGGTCTTAAGTTAGTAATGTGTGCTTGTACATTATTCCGAAAAGTGCAAAAGGAGGGGGGATGAAAAGATTGGAATCAAATAATCAGTAGGTAGAGGTTTTATTTCAGGTGGTATTCCCTCCCTTATTAGTAGCATCAGTGTTATGTACAGTGTCTTTTCGCTTCTCTTTGGTAGTCAGTGCAACAAACCGAAATTTTTGGATGTAGAGATTAATTGGGAGTCCACACTTCTAAATTTTCATTTCTGTAATTATGGAATTTGCCAGTATCAAATTTTCCACTTTTATGTAAAATGTCAATCATTCTAAATAGCCTCCATGGCCTCCATTCTAAATTGCCTCCATTATGGAATTTGCCAGTATCAAATTCCACACTTAACTTCATTCTAAATAGCCTCCATTATGTAAAATGTCAATCATTCATTTCTGTAATTATGGAATTTGCCAGTATCAAATTTTCATTTCTGTAAAATGTCAATCATTCATTCTAAATAGCCTCCATTAGTCCGATTGTGAGGGTTAATGGATCCTCTGTTACATGAGCTATTCTTTTGTGTCAGGAAAGTCGGATGTGAAGTTAAGTTACACTGGCATAGAATGCTATTTGCACTGCTCTACGCTGTATTTATGATTTGGCTATGTTGCTTTTCTGTGATAAGAACAGTGAATGTCTTGCTGACAGGGGTTAAGAACTGCAGAAAGCATTTTTCTTGGATGATTGGATTGCATTTAATGAAATGAAGTAACTTAAATATACTCCATACCGTACAAAGTTTAAAAACTACATTTCAGAAAGAACCTGTTTATGCTATGCTGCAGGTGCGTTAATAACAGTCACATGTTAAAGTTAAAGCAAGACAGATGCATGACATAAGTGAAGCTAGCTCTAATTTGCTTAATACATTGTAAAATGCAATTGATTGAGAAATTGCCCACCATCCTAATATATATTTTTGTTAAAATTAATGAATTTCATTGACATACATTACGAGTCTTAATTGGTAGTCATATTTCTAGCACACTATAAAAATGAAATGTTTTTAGCAGATTGTTATACAAATTCACGTCATTCCTTTGATTGTAAAACCACTGAGTAGCTTTATCTTTACTAGGTATGGGTTTGGAGATCATGGTTTTTGACTGGATATTGTAGTTTAGATTGTGAGTAGAGCATGTTAGATCTGAAAATGAAAGCATGCCTGCTTTTATTTCTTCACGTACAAACCCAAAAAAGTTGGTAGTGCAATCATTACTTCTCGCTGATGCATGGGCACAGAGATTTTCTTACCATCTGGAAGAGGAAATTCAGTGTAACACTATGATAACATTTATTGTACCATCCTTAAATTTTCGTTCTGTATCTGTCAGCTTAATCAAATATCTAAATGCCTATTTCCTGAACGACTACTAATCACAAGATAATATTGGATGTAGATTCATGGCAAATCAATCAGAGAAAGGATTGAGAAATTGACACAGCAGTCATTGACTAATAGATATACAAGACGATCAGATAGCTCAAAAATAGAAATACTCAAAGAAATGCTTCAAGATGTGTGTCATAAGATACGACACATAAGGGGTGAGGTGATGCTTTCAGAAAAGGTAAAAGTAATCATCAGAATCATGGTACTATACTCTTTATTGAGTACTGTCATCAGTATTGGCTATTATTACTGGACAACTTATTCTTTTCAAATTGAGATGTGATTTACCATTCTGGTGTTTTTGGTTTAAACTTTGCAAGTAAAGTTCATGAATAAAAAGGGATTTTCTTCAGTTACTGGCAAATCATAGAACATCCAAAGATTCTTGTCAAGATTCATGTTCTGCTTTAGTGTTTAATGTCTGTGGAAGTGCAAAAATTGATTGTTGATATTGCTTTCTGGCTAATGTGGATAGCTTTGTGATTGCTTCTGCTATTTCCTATATTTTATACTCCACGTTCCATGAGTGGCTTGAGGAGAAGATTGCTCATTGTGAAATTATGAGAAACTAAAAAAATTTTCTCCATGTTACACAGCAACGGCTTTTTTTATTTTCTTATTATTATTATTTTTTTCAACTGTCTGGGAAAACTATTTGGTGGTGCAATTTCCCAAACACCTTCGGCTAAAACATTCCCTTGCCAGGAGGCAGATCGAAGCCTAAAAATTCCTAATTATCAAGATGACCTATCCTAGATTACAAGTTAGCAACTACATTGCATGCTCTTACTCTATACTGAACATTGCAGCTAGCAAAGCTTTACAGTCCCCGATGATTGCTAGAGCTAGGTAATGTGAATTGTTTCTTGGTTAAAAGTTCTACTGACAATTAGGAATCAGTTTAAAATTCAAGATTTTCACATCCATGTGCCATGCATGTTCTAGGCTTCGTCTGATGCCCCACATTCATGTAACATCCATCACTGAGCATATCAGTTATGCTCCCAGTGTATCCCAAAGTTTGTTGGACGAAAAACATAAATTAGTTTGTCAAGAATTTTTGATATTCAGATTTCTATTGTCATGCTTCATTTGTGTAGGAGTTGCCTGTTGCATTTGTTACGTTCAGGTCTCGCTTGGGTGCTGCATTAGCTGCCCAATCTCAACAGCACTCAAATCCTCTAGTATGGATCACAGGAATAGCCCCAGAACCAAGGGATGTTCTCTGGAGTAATTTGGCAATTCCTTATCGACACCTGCCGCTGCATGAAATTGTTGTCTTCTTGTTAGCATCACTTCTCACAATATTCTTTGCCATCCCTGTCACAGCTATTCAAGGAATTGCAAAATTTGAAAAATTACGAAAATGGTTTCCACCTGCAATGGCAGTGCAATTAATGTAAGATTTCTCATCTTTGATATTTGTGATTGAGAATCCTGCTTGAAAATGGTTTTCAGAATTAGCTGATACAGTTAACCTAGAACTGCACATAGCAGACAGCTTAAGTTTGCAGCAAAACTTCTCTATCGCTACCCATAAAAGAAACTATGTGCTTCATTCATTGCTATGCCAGTATCTTATCCTCTGTGCACTATCATGTTGCTCTACCTCTTTTAAGTGGAGGACAGGATAATGTACAAAATGCTATCTCACCAAAATTGTTCTGCTCTTTCATTCTTTAATGATTACCAGGATCTGTTGCATGATAGAAACAGGAAACAATGTTTTTAGATCACAATCAGAGAGGTTCAACTCTTACAAAATTGGGTGCAAATAGAATATCATTGGAACTTTCAATTTGTATAAATTTCTTTTCATTTGTCTGCATGAGAAAATTGAGATAGTAAAAGGGTTTTCAAAAGCTATACTTGTTTACAGAATAATCCTTGATGGGCTGAGCTGAAAGGAAGCTATTGCTGCTATATGCTAAGTTTAATAAGGTAGAAAGAATGAAGAAATAATTTCACCTGTTCCTATATGCCCTGTGTTTCTTTTATAGTTATTCCTGCAGTATTTTCCTTAGCCTGCTGAAATATGTTTTTCCTATGTTGTTTAACATACTAAGGCACATGGACTTTCGGCAATTCTCTAATTTTAGAACCTATCGCTAAAGAATCTATTGGCTTTTGTTTGTATGTGTTTTTCCTTTTTTTACTGTCTTATGCGCTAGAGCCTCTTGTTTTCGAGAAATTGTGGCTTTGGTGTCTACCCTCATAAGAAAGGAGTTTGTAAAAATTTAGAATCTGGAATGACAATGAAAAGCATTAGCAGTTTATATGTTGCAGTTGGATAAGCCCTACTCTCCTATATGTAATGATATCCTCGGAGAATACTCTGTCCCTTGCCTAAAAAACTCATGTCACAAGAGGACTTGACAAGAAAAAAAATATTTACTGCATTAGGAATTCAATGAAAGGAAAGATCAAGGAAAGAAAAAAGAATACACCAAAATGCAGGTCCTGAACCTAAGCTGGTCCTTGTTATAAGTGAATACATTGAAAGAACAGCAAATGATGAATCACGAGATAATTTGTGACTTAATATGCTCATTTAAAAGTTTGTGCTTTCTAATTATGATTGTTTTCTCATTTTAATCTTCCTAAAATTTTGTTAGGAAGGGCGAGATGACTGGACATCTTCCTAGGGACTCAGCCTTTTTTTTTTTGTTGGGGGGGGGGGGGGGTGTTTAAAGTTGATATCCATATTCTACTTTTGGCATTTCCATCCAATGTGATTGCATGATTTGAGTTTTTGGTAAGACCAGCAAAACTGATCTCCTGTTTTTTTTTTTTTTTTTTGTTTCTCTGGCATGTACTATTTTCTCCAGACCAGGACTAAGATCCATTGTGACAGGCTATCTACCAAGTGTGATTCTGAATTTTTTTATTTACATTGTTCCCTTTTCCATGATTGCTATGGCACAAATGGCGGGTTATATTTCAAGGAGTAAGAAGGACATAAAAGCTTGTAATATGGTCTTCTATTTTCTTGTGGGAAATGCATTCTTCTTAAGCTTATTATCTGGATCCTTACTAGACCAAATTGGGGAATCTTTCACTCATCCTAAAGATTTTCCCGGTCATCTCGCCGGTGCCGTTTCTGCCCAAGTAAGAGCAACTTTCTGGATATTTGCTTTCTATTTCCATCTCTTGTATGGATTGAACATGAGACAATACAAAAAAAAGACCCTTACACTTGAATTGGTGGTTGTAAACATTGTTTGATTTAAAGAATTGTCTTGTTTAATCCTTGCTATACTTCTTTTGGTGTTTTGTTTCAGGCAGACTTTTTCATGACATACATCTTGACAAATGGGCTGTTTGGATTTTCTTTAGAGATTCTCCAACCAGGATTATTCATGTGGAACTACATAAAATCCCACACATGGCACCGCGGAAAGAGGAAAACTGCATATCTTAACTCAATACCTTATTACCGAATTATTCCTTTTGTTGCTCTCTCTATATTGATTGGCATGGTATATGCAATTATCTCGCCCTTGCTTCTGCCATTTCTAGTTGGCTACTTACTGCTAGGCTATGTTGTTTTCATTAATCAGGTTATCTCTTTATCCTTCAAGAAATCATTGAGAATCTCATACTTCTGAAATTTATCACAATTTGCATTCCTGTCAATTTTCAAACCATGTGATGGTCTATTTGTTACCACTGTTATAAACAGTTCTGATAATGCTTCTCAGTGCATTTGAAGTTGGAACAAAATCTTTATGTGGAGTCTTGCTTATATGTGCACTCACAGACATGCTATGATGAGTCTATGCATTACATGAATTCAACAGGTTGTTTTGCTGTAATAAATCTAGAATCAGATATGCTGAAAAAACCTGTTATGCAGCAATGTTTTAAAAGGTAAGGAGGGCTGGGCATTTAATGTCTGGCTAGACAAGGCAAAAGCCATGCCCCACAAATTTTGACTTTTTTATATATTTAAAAGATAAAAATATAAGAATACTAATATATATATATATATATATATATATATATATATATATAATAGTTACAAATAGAAACAAAATCTCGATAAAATTAAAGAAAATTACAAAACATTATAAGAAAATCACAAACCTAAATTTAATACACTTTTGTTAGAAATTATGAGATTTCATGACTGCAAAGTGTTCAATTTATAAGGCTAATGCTCAATTGCTTGAACCTACAACCTATGTTCCTTCAGAAACAAAATCATTAAGTATCAAAATTTAAAGTCTAAATCATACATTAGTCATCTAGTCTTGTTAGTAGAAAATAACAATATCTGGGCATCAACAACAAGGAAAAACAGTGTTAAAAACAAAGTCATAAATGCTTCTACATTGTATTTTTTTCAAAAATTTTGAAAGAGAAAACAGATGAGATCCATTTTTGAAAATCACTAAAGAAAAATAATGAGATAGGAAACTAAGATAGGACGAAAGAAAAACAAAGTCAAAGTTCAAACTTAAAAAACAAAAGAAAAAGAAAAAGAAAAAGCACCAAATGCCCAAACATCAGGTGTACGCCCTGTAGCATGGGGCGAATGCCCAGTAACACTTGTGCCCCATTCAACCGCGTTGGGGCATTTGAGGGTCGCCCCACCTCAAGGACTCGCCCAGAAAGCACCTTTGAAAACACCTATCCACAAAAAGAATGCATAGGTTGCTCTTGGTTTTACGATGTGGGCAACTGTGGCAAGAGTGCAACATGCTGCTTCCTCTAAAGTAAGCAAAACTTTATGCAAATACCTTAAATCACCATTGTTCACAAGTTGACAACAATACATAGGCACTGCTTTGACTCATGGATGGTTGTTGTATTTACAAAATGTACCTTGAATTGAATAAACATTAATTATTCGTTAAAACATGGGTTGTGGAGTAAACATTAGGTACTAAGTCAAATTGTCATCCATGAATTTAGTTGTTTTGGACTTACTCGACATCCAAGAATAGCATGTCAAAGACATACATTAATTTCCTGCCTTTAGTCTACACAATGAAGCTATTTAGCACCTGTTTTGCTACCTTTATAAGCTTTCCTAGAGTGAGGAACATTTGTCTATTTTGAATAGTTTGCTGGTGAATGGAGAATCTTTTTATCCTGAGGTAGCTTTCATCTATTGCTTACCGATGTCTCCTGCTTGTTTTCATTATCATGGCGATACAGGTCCACTTTATACAACTAGCACAGTGACTATAATCTTGGAGTCAAAATATATTCATAACAGATGTCCTGCATTTTATGGCAGATTGAAGATGTTTACATAACTTGTTATGAGACGTGTGGTCAATATTGGCCATACATTTATCAGTACATTCTTGCTGCTCTCATCCTAATGCAAATAACTATGGTTGGTGTCTTTGGACTGATGTCGAAGCCCTCCGCATCCATTTCTACAATTCCTCTGCTTCTTCTCACTTTCGGTTTTAATGAATACTGCAAGAGGCGGTTTGTTCCAACATTTCACAAATACTCTATGCAGGTAAGTTTGTTTTTCCAATGCTTGTGGTAAACTATTTGCTCTTCTTTCTTAATTTTCATTCTTAACTGACACTGCAACGTCCCATTTCTTTTAAGATTTCACCACTATACTGCTGCCACAATTTAATTTTTTTGTTTTTTTAGGCTAATGTAGAAATGCCTCTCATGTGAAATTTATATATCTGCGAGCGACTTGAAAGTGAGACTGTTACTTCAGTCATGGACATTAATTTATTGCAACACTTTTAAGAAAAACCTTATAAATGAAGATTATCCTTAATACAGGATATCCAGTACAGAGGATTATAATGAGGTTTGTTTGAGAACCACTATATAAATGGAAGTTGTTGCTTTCAATAACAGGCATGAGGTTGTCTTCCGTCATGTTTCTATGTCATCATAACTTTTCCCAGGTTGATAATCAGCCTGATAAAAGATTTCATCGATAACTTTCCTGCAATTGTTACGATTTTTTATACATCTAAAGTTTTGTGTAAGAAAAAACTATCCTTGATCGATTAAGTTTGTCTTACATCTTAAGCAACAGTGTTTCTGTCACAGATTGCTAGATTGATACAAAAGAAGAAATATGATGAGAGAAGAAGAGAACAGAAGACAGAGAGAGAGAGAAGAGAGGATTTTTGTGTAAAATAAACATAAAGAAGTGTGCTGTCACTTACTTTAAATGTTATTAAAAGATATCAAGCATAGCACTGTAGTACCCGAAAAATATGGTAACGTCCTGGCTCAATACTGTAAGTGGTAAACCAATCTACTTAACTAAATTTATCCATGTCCGTCCATGAATGGATGGGTATGGGTATTTTAAATTTTTGTAGATGGATATAAATGATAAATGGGTATAATTGGGTAACCCATCAAACCCAATTAACCCATTTAGAATTCTCTTCCTCCAAGTCTCTTCTCTTCCCCTACCCTTTTTTTTTCAAATTTTTTATTTTATCATGATGTTAACTACTTTTGTTTCATTATTATTATTATTTGTTGATTTTATTTTATTATTTAATTTTCTTTTAGTTTGTTAACTTGCTCATTTTTTAGCATTACCAATTTATGATAAGTTTTAGTCTCTTTTCTTATCTTTCTAAAATGAAATTTTAAATTTATATATGAAAAAAATGTTAGGGGTTCAAAATTTTTGGATTAAGTTTTTATATTAACTTTTATTGTACTTAGTTCAAATTTTTTTATTCTTATTATTTAATTATTAAATAATATGTAATTTTATGACATAAAGTATCAATGAAAAAAAAAATTGTAATTAGGTTTATTGAACATTAGAAGTAAATATTTAAAATTAATAATGGGTACAAAGAGCGGTATAAATCGATAACTTAGTTTTCAAAAATAAATTTAAATGAGTTTACAAAAAATTAAAATAAATGGGTTATAAATGGGTAATTGGGTTATCCAATTCATTTTTTGACTTACCTATTTATACCCATCTAATTAAATGGGTATAAATGGATTGATTCACTTATACCCATTACCCATTTTATCGAACCCAAACCCGCCCAAATCACGCATTTTGACACCTCTACTCAATACCCTGGAATCAATGGACTTGCTATCAGAAGCTGCAATAATTTTATGCCAACTCAAGCTCCTCTATATATGTTATGTACCTATTGTTATATGCTTCGTTCTGTTATGTAAGACTGGGTTTTGAGCAATTTTCATTTATATTGGAAAGCTTATGGTCGCAATTCAGACCTTGTCCAATAAACCTTGGCCTTATTTTTAACAAATTTGGAAACGCAGGACAAGAAGTCCATGAGTCATAACCATTGTCTGCCTCTTTGATATATTGAACTCTTGCATCTTTTTCCTTGCTTCTCCATTTGGCAAGATATTCCTGCAAGACAAATATTTAAACTTTTAAATTCTGTCTATCATCAAAGGACCATAGGCGATCTGCTTTAACGAAGGCTTTCTACTTCCAGTCTTCATGATTGGAGATAATATTCCTTCTCTAAAGTCAGGGTTGTGAAGGTAATGTTCCTTCTCATAGTCCAGCTTTGATATCTAATGATCTTCATATATGAGGCATACAAAGAATATGCAGATGGTATAACTTGCAGTTGCAAAAGCTTTATTAATGCAGGTAAGAGAAAGATAAATCAGTCTCCAATGATCTTCACCACTCTTTTTTCACCTAATCACCATTATAAGTGTGTGATTTATTTTTATAACAAGATCTTTAGGTGTTACTCCGACTTGCTAGTTGCCCAACTGTACTTCCTTGCCTCTTTGTATGCAGCAACTTGAATTCTAAGATATTTATGTCTTTCAGCATCTCTGACTTCAATTTCCCCACCTAGGGACTTTCTGAGCATTCCCTTTTGAATCATTCTGTATTAGAAACAAAATATCTAACAAACAATAAGCATGGTAGTTTTGGCCAAGTGCATGAACATGACACACTCTGGATGTCTCTTCCTGAAGCAAATCTCGCTATTGGATTTTGGAATCTCCCAAACCTATTGAATGAGACTTTTATTTACTAGTGTAATTTGTCCTTATGAATTGAGCTGCGAATCCAGGTGACATCTTCCTTTAAACTTCTTCCTTTGATTTCCCTTTTTCTTTTTCTTTTTTATGGGGGGGCTGGGGGGATTGAGATATAAACTTCTTCCGTCCCAGAAGATGTGTGAGTTGACTTTCAATTATTTTAAAGTCCAAGTTAGCAAAGAAGAAATGGTAGCCCCATCATAAAATTCCTTTTGCTCTTGGTGCTTCTCAGTAATCAAAGATGCGTAGCAACCGAACTAGTATTAAATCTGTTATTTGTCTATTCAGCTCAGTAGAACATCCATTTGCAACTGACTGCCACAATGAAGTCTGCAAAGTGCCATTTCTTTCTGCCCTCTCACCTCTAGCATATTCCACGTAGTATCTAATTGCATCCTTTCAAGTTTCTGCAGCAGGAATACAAAGCTTAAAGAAAGCTTAATTGGATACTGATGTGGTACCACAAAACCTGATATCTGTAAGGAGAAAACATCATCTCATGTACTGGGGGAAAAAAAAAAGCCATCATCAGTAATCATTCCACATTCCCTAAATGCGATAGGAAGGCAACTAGTATTGCTAAGCAGCTGCAAGTCAAGAAAAATCGGCTCATGT